GATAAGAAAAATTCAGGTGAAATAGTTAGTTTTCAGGACTAATTCTGTAAGTAACAATTCTGTTCTTGAAAGCACATTCAATTATATTTACATTATCAAACTAGGTTTGCAGTAAGCAGTTGGACTTGTGAATATAGGACTTTTGGTGAGCGAAATAACGTTTAACATGCACACCGCAGGGCTTGCGGAAAAACATTTATTTTTAATTATTATGAATACAAATCAGTTTATTATAATAAAATATAGTTTTTTGGTTGTTAGACTTTGAATTTTAGTTTTATAGCTTTATTTTGATTTTATGTTTATGTTATTAAAAGTATTAAGCCGGGCACCAAATATTTCTAAAAATAAATGATAAAACACTTATTATATTGCTACACTAAAAATATAGATCAGTTTATTATAATAAAATAGAGTTCAGATTTAGACTTTTAGTTTTATGGTTTTTTATTTCGATTTTATTTGAATTTGAATTTAATTTTTTTTGTTTTTATTATGATTTTATCTGTAAGCAACAGTACCAAATATTTCTAAAAATAAATACTAAAACACTTATTATATTAATACACTAAAATATAAATCAGTTTATTATATTAAAATACAGTTCAGATTTAGACTTTCAGTTTTATGATTTTTTATTTCGATTTTTCGATTTTATCTGAATTTGAATTTATTTTTTTTGTTTTTATTTCGATTTTTCTATTTCATCTGAATTGGAATTTAACTTTTTGTTTTTATTTCGATTTTTCGATTTTATATGAATTTGAATATACCGATATTTTTATACGTAGTAGAGCCATGCTGCACTTATATTAGTAGTATAGTTGTAGCACGAATGGGTTGGCTCGACCGGGGAAGGACTACGCTCTCACAGAATACCAGTGTGAAATAGTAGCTTAATGCTGTTGTGTTTCGTAAGGTGAGTGTAGAGAACCGGAGAACCTTTTTACTGGAAACGAGGCATTTCATCTCAGTCCTCACAGGTGACAAAGCATCTGCATTTTGATTTGTAATCGAGGATAGATGTAGATGTCTGTGGGGCCGCAGCAACCACTTACCATCAGGTGGGCTGTGTGCTCGTTTGTAACCCCATCCTATAAAAAAATTATGCTATGAAAGTAACTAATACTAAACTATGCTTATATTATTAAATAATAACATTAACATAAAAGTCTGTATGTTAGATGTTTTTTTTATGTTTGTTTGTTACTCAATCATAATAGAATGCCTGAACCGCTAACCCTCACTAGTTACACATAGAAAAAAAAGAAGAAAAAAAAGACCTCCAACAGTATATACAAATGTTGTCATGTCACCCTAATTTTATACTGGATGGGAATCGAACCACAGCCATCTGGTTTTCTAGCTTACTCGTAGTACAAACCGCTAGATCATTTACGATCACCACCATTGGTTAAATACATTGATTTATAGAAACTTGCAAGCATATATGTACTAATTTGGTTAGACTAAAAATTTGGAACCTATATTTGAGAGAATTATGTTCTTCAGTGGGCGCGTAGCGCGAAGCAAGAGTGAGTGAATGCTTTTGAATTAAAGCTGATGGTTAAGTTAATCTTCAGCATCTTTTTTAAGTGTTTAAATTATTAACACGATTGAAATAACGTTAGTTCATTAAAATCTATCAGCCAATACGGACAAATTAACAAACCTGTTATGATATTTCTCAAACAAAAAGAATCACTTAAATTAGAATGTATCTGTCCTGCACCAAAAAATGAGGTTAAACGTCATGGGAGCTTATTGCCAAATACGATACGTAGTATTGTACGCGGTCCATCGAATTGTAGAAGACTAACTTAGTTATCAGCTTATTGTTACATCAGAATGGGCCACGTTTCCGCAACCTTTATGTATATTCAAAGTCTTTATATCAACCTAAATACTTATTTTTAGAAAAAGTACTGCAGGATGAGGAAGGTACATCTTATTACAAGTATAATCATAATAGTGAAATTTTGAGTCCACACGAAGCTTCGCCTAACTCAATTATAATATTTGACGATGTAGTTGTAAAATCAAAACTACATTTACGGATTTTATCGCGTTTATTTCACTACTTTTACTTATTTTACACACATTTTGTACAGCAACCATGGTTGCTGTAAAGCGCCCGAAACATCGGGAATTAAAAATAAGTAAAAGTAGTGAAATAAACGCGATAAAATCCGTAAATTTAGTTTTTATTCAATGTGTAGTGTTCGCGTAAATTTAAGAAATCATTATTTGACGATGTAGCTTGTGAAAATCAAAACAACATACGCGATTATTTCGCCATGGGTCAACATAAGAACATTGACTGTTTTTATATTAATCATATACAAAGATACCTAAGCAACTAGTAAGAGATAATGCTAACCTTATTTAACCTTATTGTTTAAACAAGATGACATAAATCTGAGACACGTTTATGACGAACATGTAGGGTCTGACATGACATGGCCTCGGTTCCAGGAAATGTGTTCAATTGTGTGGAGTAAACCTTTCAATTATGTTGTTATAAATAAAGACTGTAAACGAAATAAAGGCTGTTACAGAATGAAGTTTATATACATTCATACTAGTAGACTAAACGTTTCAATAGCTGCTATGTTACAAAGAAATCAGTTTCTGTTGAGTAGTCAAACAGAGTGCAATTCCTTTACAATGGAACGAGACCTTAAGAAACAAATTGTAAAATCTGCTGCAGCAGTAAAAAGGAAGGTAGAAATGATAAAGGATGCAAAAAATACAAACAATCTGACTTTGGAAACATTATTTAAATTTATCGTTGATCTGCTTAATATGCTTACAAGAAAAAACTGAAGAAAAGCAGCATTTAAATGAAGATACAGACCAAGGTCATCTTATCAAACAACTTTTTTTTTTTGATTTCTTCAAGTGATGTGTTTGAAGATCCTGTTAATGATGAAGAAAACTCGGATAATGATGTTTATACAACATCCAACAAAACCCTCACTCACTCGCTTCCTGCGGATGATAATAACACGAATGAAATTTCGTTTAGATCTCATCAATCATCACCAAGTATTGCAAATGATTCATTAGCATGGTCTATGTCATCTGAATTACAAAAAGATGTACCTTATGTTGTCAGAAATGAACATGGGAAACTAATGCGCATTTCGTGTTTATGATGATGATCACATTTTAAAAATTGGAAATTATAGTTTGAAAAAAAAACTCCAGGTTTAAAAGAGTTATTGTTTAAAAAGCTACCAAATTTAGATATTGTAACAGAGGAAGACTTACAAAATTATAAATTGTTACTTTTGGATACTAATGCACACAAACGTAGTTATGATCCATCCAAACCGATTAACAGTAACAAAGGATTTAAATATATGCAAGTGATCAAACCATTGTTTAAGCACTCGAGAAATCATAAAAGTAGTATAGAAAGTCTTCCAAAGGGAGAAGAAGTTGATATTTTAAAAGAATTTAAAAAAGATACTGATTTGGTTTACTGGAACGATCCAAACGAGTTAGTGGAACGATTAAAATTACTACTTGGATCATGGGCAGCTGGTAAGGCTGTTACAGGGGTTTACAATGAAATTTATGCAATAATCGAATAATTGCATGAATCTAGCATCATAAAAGACATTAAATATATTAAGCTGCCTACAGGAGGATTACACAGTACCATTTCATTACAGAAGCCGATAAGATGGCTATAAATATAGACAAATTTGGTCATCATGTTCATAAGCGTTTACGACTATCTCAATGCTCTGATATTCTCAGCGACGCTTTAGTAAGAACAGACGCAGGTGATTTTGATTTTAAATCAACAAGATTAAAAGGACTGCAAACACCTGAAAAAGAAGATGAGGCTGTGAATAAAGAATATGTGGATAAATGTGTTCAAGAACTTAAAAATGAAATGAAAACAATTCACAATAATTTCAATAAGTACCTTAGCAGTTTTGAAAAATTGACTACTAGCAATTTCACGACATTATATTACACTAAAAAGGAAATCGACCTCATGATTGCATCAAAACCTACCCAAAATAAGTAAACAAGATATAGTCAATGAGCTTCACAAAGCAGCAAGACGAAATTTTTCTCGTCAACATACGATTATTAAAGGAATGACCTGATTGATTTTCAAAAATATTCAACGTTTAATAAAGGATACAAATATGTCCTAGTAGTAATCGATGCTCTATCAAAATACGTATGGGTTAGACCATTGAAATCGAAATATATAAATTGTGTCAAAAGTGCGATGCAAAGTTTATTATCTGAATCAAGACGAAAACCTGAAAATTTACAAACGGATCTTGGTACAGAGTTTTATAATGATTCTTTTAAGAATTTAATGAAAAATTATAATATAAAACGTTATTCCACGTAATTCGTTAAAAAGGCCTCCATTGTAGAACGAGTAATAAGAACTTTAAAAAATCGGCTTTACAAAATATTCAGTCTATGCGGACAATATCAATGGTTCAAAAATTATCTAGATTTTGTTGTAAAATGGTATAATAATACTTTACATCGCATTAAAAAATTCAAGCCTGTCAACGTTAATGATTCAAATGCGATTTTAGTTATGTCAAATATCAAGAAGTCTCAAAAACCTAAGATACGTCAAGGACCAAGGTTTCACGTCAGCGATTACGTTCGTATAAGCAAATACAAAGGAGATTTTTATAAAGCTTATACCCTTAATTGGTCTACAGAAATATTTCGTATCGTTAAAGTCAACCAAACCAATCCTCAAACCTATCAAATAGAAGACAAACACAATCAAAAAATTCTAGGCTCTTTTTACGGTTACGAACTACAAAAAACTAAATTTCCAGACCTTTATCTTATTGAAAAAGTCATTAAAAGAAAAGGAAATAAGCTTTTAGTAAAATGGTTAGGTTTGAGTGATGACGAAAATAGTTGGGTGGATAAAAGTGAATTAGTGGTGTAGGTATATAAATAACGTATTATTACTTAATAATCTCATTTTATACTTATCGATGAAGAAAGGCAGTGGTATAATTAATAAGGTAATAGACAATTTACCGTTTGAGTTACATTTACCTGGCTATCAATTTTGCGGTCCCAAAACGGAACTTCAAAAACGGTTACTCAAAGCCGATCGTGGGATAAACAAATTGGATGAAGCGTGTATGCTCCATGATATTGGTTACACTAACAAACATTCGGGCGCTCGACAAAAAGCGGATTTAGAACTTTTGAAAATGGCTAAGAGGAGGTTGAAATCAGAAGATGCTAGGAAAGGAGAAAAAATTGCCTCTTGGATAGTCAAAAATGCGATGAAAGCGAAAATCCGGGCGGGGGGCGGTATAAAAGCATTTAAGAAGGGGATAAAAATACAGTCTCAGTTGAAAAAACTAAAATCCAAAGACAGTCACTCGGCTATAAAATATGCCTATGCAGCTGCTAAGAAAATATTTAGTAATAAAAATTGAATAAGTTTACCCCTCTGTATTCCTCTTCCAAAGTTTGAAGGACTTTTACCCCTTATTCCCATATTTGCGGGATTGTCAGCTTTAGGATCATTAGCTGGTGGAGCAGCTGGTGTAGCAAAAGCTGTTAATGAGTCAAAAGCGGCACAAAAGAATCTTCAGGAATCTGAAAGACACAACAGAATGATGGAAGTCGTTGCTCTAGGAAAAGGATTATACATTAAACCTCATAAACAAGGAGCAGGTTTATATCTTAACCCCTAAAAAAACTAATTAGATGGCTACCCAGACGGGCGCTCACTAACCTCGACATATTAGAACATGCAAGTGACATTCCATACTTTCGCGGCGAGAAATAAGTTACCTTCGAATCCGAGAAAGATAGAATGTGGAATACTGAATTTGGATAGCTACAGAAATCCTGGAAGGCATTGGGTAGCCTTTGTAAAGCACAATAAATACGTAGAATATTATGATAGTTTTGGTAATTTAAAGCCCCGTTAGGATTAGTTAAATATATGCATAACTTACCTATTAACTATTATTATGCGCGACATCAAGCGTTTGGTGCCACAAACTGTGGACATCTTTGTCTAAAAATTTTAAGGAATTACTGGAAAAAGCATTTATATAGTGTATGAAGTAAATAAACGTATCAGTATAAAATGTCTTTCACTGTGTCTATAACTGGGACAGGACCTTCTTTATCAACGAACTATTCACCGACAATAGAACTACGAGGAGACTACGAATGTTGCCTTTTGTATTTTTCAACTTTCAATTCTATTCCCAATATAGATGAAAGAAAAAATAAATTTTATTATGGTTGAAAAATAAATAATCGAAATTCCTGAAGGGTCTTACGAGCGTCAAGATATTTGTGATTATCTAAAAAATAATATTAAGAACACTGTACTAAAAGTAACTTGTAACAATAATATATTGAAAACAAATATGTTTGCTCTGAAGATGTGCACTTTAATAGAAGCAAATCACTGGGTAAAATTTTAGGCTTTGGTATGAAAACAATAAAAGCAAATATAAGTACTGAATCAAAGTATCCTGTCAGTATTCTATCGACAACCATCGTGCGGATTGAATGCGATGTAGTTAGTGGTTCATTTGTCAACGGGAAAGCAAGCCATATAATTTATGTAATACCTTTATTTAAATCTGGTAGTACATTGGACCCCGCTAATTTTAGACCTATTTCTGTACTGCCAACACTTGTAACATTTTTGAAAAAATTATTCTTGATCAAACGTTAAATTTTTTTAATGTAAATAATTTACTTCATAAAAATCAATTTGGTTTCACAAGGGGTCGCTCGACAACTGATGCTGGTGTTGAGCTGATTAAATATATATTTGATGCATGGGAGAATTCACAGGATGCCTTGGGTGTATTCTGTGACATATCCAAAGCCTTCGATTGTGTTCACCATGAAACATTAATCAGGAAACTTTAACACTACGTTGTAAGAAGCGATGCTCTTAAATTAATTATTTCATATTTAAGTGACAGAACGCAAGTTGTTTTTATGAGTTCTTCCGGGTCGATTGTACAAATGGGCGTGCCTCAGGGCTCAATTCTCGGCCCTTTTTTATTTCTAGTATATATTAATGACTTACCTTACATACTAGGAGATAACCATAATATAGTATTATTTGCTGATGATACTTCATTAATTTTCAAATTAAAACGACAGTTATCAAATTATGACAAAGTAAATAATGCTATAGCTAAGTTAGTCAATTGGTTTAATGTTAATAATTTGCATTTGAATGGAACTAAAACTAAATGTATGAAATTCGTAACTCCTAATGTTAAACTCGTCAATACTAATGTAACTGGGGGGAACTGAGTCTTGTTGATACCACCATTTTTCTTGGAATCACACTGGACGCAAAGCTTCAATGGCTCCCCCATATATCAAAACTAGCTAGCAGACTTAGTTCTGCAGCATATGCTGTGAAAAATATTAGAACTCTAGTGTTGAAAGAGCTAGAATATTTTACTTTGGTGGCTTTCAGACGGTGTAAGTATTTAGCGGATTAGTCAGCAGTCGGTTGAAACTTTTTTCCGTAGTCGGTTAACTACGAAAAATAAGGAGGTTGTCATATATATGGTCGAAGTTGGCCTATCGGCGGCATTGTGAGTTTTACTCGACTCTCTAATCTATTCTATATAGAGAGGAGTTCTCTTGGATAAGGTCGCCCGTCCGGGGGCCGTGTGTACAACGGCGCGAAGCCGTTGAGGTGTTCGTGTGGCCCGTTGTCGGCGCGGTCGAACATGCCACGCGCCAGTCGGGCCACGAAGTCTGACTTTCAGATCGGCCGCTATGACGTCGTTCCGGACGTAGCAACCTGCTCCGACGATCGTCCTTGATGTCAGGTTCTGCTGGGCCTGCAGTTGCCTCAGAGGGTCGCTCAGAAGCGCGTACCAGGCCGGAGCAACGTAGGGGATTATGGTACGAATGTACATTTTGTACAATTTGAGCTTGGTCTTGGTTGACAACTTGGATGCCAGGACTGGCAAGAGCGTTGCCCGCGCACATCTGGATATGCGGACGACGAAGTCAACGTGCGCGGTCATGCGCAGCGTCCTGTCAATCCGGCACCCAAAGTAGGTCACGGCCTTCTCGTACGCGATCTTCTGGCCATTGAGGATCAGCGGAGGTGGTAGTTTTCTGAGACGGCTAGTTTGCAGAGCGTTCGTCTTACCAACGTTGATGACCATCCTCCACTCGTCCAGCCATGGTGGCAACAGGTCCGCAAACGCTAACGCAAAAAGGTCAGCAGACGCTGCATTCTGGCTGTGGCAATGTGGGCTCTTCTGGACGAGGTGAAGTAGGTGCTGTCGTCCGCATACAACGCCAATTCCACGTCGTCCTCCCACTCTTGCAGCCTTCCTGCCAGTGTTGGGATGTTGGGACGTTGGTGTAAGCCGCGTACAGGACTGGAGATAAACAGCTGCCCTGAGGAACGCCGGCTCTGATGGTACGTGTTGCGGATTCGGCGTCTTCTACACAGACGTTGAACTTCCTGTCTTCCAGAAAAGACGCTACTAGCCGCAACATAGCAAGAGGGACACTGGTCCGTTCGTGTAGTTTATAAAGCGATCCTGAGTGCCACACCCAGTCGAACGCCTTCTCAATGTTGAAAAAGACGCCCAACGATATGCGGCCGCGGTTGTATTCTGCCGCAAGTAGGTGCAGCACTCTAGTCAACTGTGTGACTGTAGAGTAACCCCTCCTGAATCCGTGCTGCTCCGCCCGAAGTTGGATGCACGGATGGAGACATCTCAGCAGCAATCTTTCTAACAGTTTAGCTATATGCGGTAATAGCGTGATCGGCCTGCAGCTGGCAGCTCTACGCCTGTCCTTCCCGGGTTTCGGCAAGACGATGACTCTGCCTTTCTTCCAGTCCTCCGGGAAGTGTGTGAAGTGTGTGAAGTTCCATTGTAGAGTCGACCAAGCTCTACCAGGACTCTATTGGGCAGCTGTCGGAGTGCATCGTTGGTAATCCCATCGTGCCCCGGCGCCTTCCTCTGTTGCAGGCGGGTTACTGTCCTCCGCAGTTCAGCGGAGGAGATGAACCACTCTCCTGCAAGCGGTGGCGCGACCACTTCACTGGCCTGAAGCAGTTGGTGGAGGAGTGCCCGAAAGCCTGTCAGCGGTGGCATTGTGCTGGTCCTGCTTTCCTCTGCCAGGCCTCGATGACGACCCCTCTCATGTAGAGGCGCTCGTCGGTTTTGTACAGATCCTGGAGCTGCTCCAGGCTCAGGTGATCCAGTTGGGCAAAGTAGAGGCATCCAGGTCTGCCCCTACGTGGTGGTATTGTCTTGACATATTTAATTGGGAAGCCTTTTGCCCTGATACCCTCCTCTACCGTTTTGGTATCCGTGCCCATTGGTAGTCCCCGGATGCCCACTTTAGTGGGATTGTCCTCCTCCGGGGTATAGCAGTACCACGACAATGATAGTATCTCCTTAGAGAGCTCTACCATGTACCGCTGGATGTTACGGAACTCGTCGGCGCTCTGCGGGGTAAATCGGACTCCTTTCCCGAACGAACGGGCATTTGGAGGGTGGCCCAACTTTCTGTTAAGCTCCTTAAAATGCCTCGTCCAATCCGGGAGGCATTCAGCCACTATGGGCAGGTATCTAGCCTTCTCCTGGTCTGCAGGCTTGTCTGCAGGCTTTACCGCCGCTTGCGGTCGTGGCACTACTGGTGCTGCTACCATATGGGCGTAACTAGTGGAGGGCCGTTGTCCATCATCTTGTGGAAGCCCGGACGGATTGGTGGTCTGCACCGGCGATGATCGGCCGGCGGATGCTGCAAGGGTCGCATTCGTGGTGGAACCCCAGCTGTATGACTCTTCACCTCCCTGCTCGTACTGGGCCGAGTCGTGGCTACGCCGGTCCGGTGATATTGAGCGGGGAGGTTGTGGTGGTGATGGCGACTTCGGTGGTGACTTATGCACCCTCTTCGTCGCCACCTGATGGTAATCTTCATCTTCCGAGGATGATGTTGGTACATCGGAAGATTGATAAATTAGAGCCCATGCGTTGCCTCTTTTCGAATAAAGAGGCCTCGGTCTCGGGTGGTGTATGGCGTCTGGCCGTTTTCTTTGCCCGATACAGCTGCGGCGACGGTTCCTGCCTAACCGTGTGCTCAGACACGGCCGGCATGAGCGCGACGCCCGGTGCGGGCTCCTTCCGCGGCGAGACGGGCTTCCTAGTCGGGATCTGCGAAAAGGACGGCACTATTTTGGAGCGTTCCGGGTTCGCTAGATCCCTAACTAATAATGGTCGGTCCAAAATCCCTTTCCGGTCCGGTGGTTTTCTAGTCCGTGGAGGGGGCGGTTCCCCCTTGTCCGACATGTCGCTAATAACCTACCTACTGTGAAGTGTTCGAACGTACTCTATGGGCCCTATCTGTGTTACCAACGACGACAGGCTGTGATGCGCGACGCGATGGTAGGGGTGATACGAGATGGCAC